GAAGAGAACCGATCTTACATCCCAAAATGCTAGATAGTAAGACAACTTTGTCCTGAGGCATATTAAGTGGGTACAGAGTTGATTTATTATAGTTTACCTTGAGGCCTGTGGATTGAGCAAACATATTCAAAATAGCCTTGAAATAGAAGACTTCTTTCTGAGATGCTTTTAACAATATCAAGGTGTCATCAGCATACTGAATGATTGGGAAACCATCCCCACTGCTTTCATCAATTGGTTTTGACAGAAGGCCTTGATGAAAAGCTTTGTTGATTATTCTTTGCAACAGCTCTGCCCCCAACACAAAAAGCAGAGGTGAGAGAGGATCCCCTTGTCTGACTCCTCTTCTGCATTTGAAAGAATTCCCTGGCACCCCATTCAATAACACAGCAGAAGAAGCAGTAGAGAAAACCATCTGTACCCACTCAATCCATTTTGGAGGAAAACCCATATGCTGCATAACTGAAAGAATTGCAGAATGCTCAATGGTATCAAAGGCTTTTTCAAAGTCTAACTTCAAGAGGACGATTTCTCATTTTGACTGCTAACATTGGTGAATATATTCAAAAGACCAGACAAGACAATCCTGTATGGTTTTTCCTTTGATGAAACCATATTGGTTATCACACACTAGTTTAAAAATTACCCCTTGAAGTCTGTCGGCTAGCAATTTAGTTAAGATTTTTAGACTTATACCCATAAGAGAAATGGGTCTGAAATCATTAACAGTCTCTGGGGAGGGTTTCTTTGGAACCAGGGTTATGAAAGAGCTATTAAGGATTTCCAAATCAACATTTCCAGCATGAAAATGAGCTGCCAGTCTATAATAGTCCTGAGCTATGATATGCTAACATTTTTTCATGAAAAAACCATTGAAACCATCCGGCCCTGGTGCTTTGTCAGCTGGAATAATGGAGATGAGACTATCAATTTCCTGAGTTGAAAACATGTCAACCAAGCTGTTCAAATCTATATGTCTGCCAAAAAGAGAGTCCAAGTCAAAAGCCATCTGTGGGGAATTAGAAACACCCATCCTGTTCTTAAAGCTGTGATGAAACAAAGAAGCCTTCTGCTCATGAAGATGTATAATCTGTCCATCATGATCAAGCATTTGTGAGATAGTGTTGATTCTGAACCTTTCAGTGGCTATTGACTGAAAGAATTTTGTATTTTCCTCCCCCAACATCATCCATCTATTGGTGCACCTTTTTTTCCAATAGATGTTCCTCAATTCCAATAATTTCAAAATCTGTACCTTAACTGTTTCTCTGAAATTCCACTCATAGACTGATAGCATTCTGTTTTCTTCGACTAAATCCAGAAAGTCCACCACTTTGTTGCAGTTTTTTAGCAATCCCATCAACTTTGACAGATTCTTACTCCAAGCAAGGAGCTTTTTCCTAAGCACTTTCAATTTGAAAGAAATGCACTTGGCAAGATCATCGAAACCAGGATCTAAAGACCAAACTGCCTGAACAATATAAAAAACACATCCATCTCTGCCCAATAATTTTCAAATCTGAAAATAGGGGATTTGGGGATTTTTGTGTCAATTTTCACTACACATGGAACATGATCAGGGATGTTTCTGGTTAAAGGCATCACTAATGTGTTTGGATAATCCACTATCCAAGAGACTGAAGTGAAAACCCAATCTAATCTCTCAAGAAGAGGATTCTGCTGCATATTACTCCAGGTGAATTTTCTGCCTTTAAGAGGGATTTCCAGAAGGCCAAGGATGCTAATGATATCATTAAAGATGAAAATGTCATTCATATCTGCACCATCTTTATTTCTGTCTTGCACATATCTATAGAAATTAAAATCCCCCAAGAAAATCCAATTTTGGTGGTCAGCAATTTGCACACTTCTGAACCAAGAAACAAAATTTGCTCTTTTAGGGGAACTACAAGGGCCATATACACATGTAAGGGTCCATTTCTGGGCAGAGTGCCTTGAGGTAAAATCAATGGTAACTGAAAAGAGGTTAACCTCTATCACTGTCCCCACAAAAACTCGAGAGGACCAAATAATCAGAATACGTCCTGAAGCTCCACTGGAGGGGGCAAAATAAAAACTATCTAAATTCTTAGGGGCAAATTTCCTGATATCAGATAAATCAAAGTGGTCTTTTTTAGTTTCTTGAATGCAACAAACCTGGCAACCACTATCTTCAATTTTCTGCCTCAGAGAGAGCAACTTGGATTCAGCATTCATTCCTCGAATATTCCAACAGAGCACATTCCAAGATTTAAAGTTATTCATGATAAACTTGATAGAAGAGACTGGAATAAACAGAACTAGCACAACCAGTCTGTAATAAAGGAGCATCCCAAATATTCAAAATGTACATAAGTGGAACATTTAACTGATATGACACAAAAGTTCTTGCCCAAATACAGACCATTACATGATCGATAAAAATCTGATTAAGGTCTGCATAAACACACAAAAGATCCAAATTCATTTTTCCTCCATATCAGGCCTAGGCATCTTCTTCCTTCTCTGGCCTCCCAGGCTAGACTCAGCTACCTCCTCAGGAGCTATGAATCTGGGCATACCTCTGTCCAGATTCGTTATACTAGAATATGTCATATACAATCCTAGATTCGTTTTTTTATGGAATAGAGGGAGTATGTGCAAGGAGACAACACTCAAAAGAGAAGAGAAACCTGTAGCAGGACCAATTAGTCATCAACCCCTTCTGTCAGTGAAGGCATTTTACGCTTTTCTGAAACATCATCCCATCTCCAACATCATGGATATATTAGAAACATGGCAACGTATCCTATACGTACATACAAGTTTCTCGTGCACATTTCACTCCTAAGCAAGCTTAAGGATAAGATGGGCCCACATGTTAGCTGTAACCGTCCCGAAAACCACCATAACTGTCACAACTGTCATAGAGACCCACCTGTCAGTGACCCTGGAAAGTTTGGAGGTCTGCTGGGCAGGGGTTCAGCCGAACCCTGGCAGCGCCGCCTCAGCTCGGTCCTCCACGCGTACGCTTGTGATGCATTCTCAATGACAGTTGCGAGGCATTTCCGACAATTCCAACTACCATAACCGTTATTGGAAGGCTATATAAGGAGGAGCTCAATTCATCTCAACACACACTCAAGCAAGCTCAGCATTTCTCTCTATACTTTAGTTTAGTATTCTAGTGCTAAGTGGAGTATAATAGAATAGCTCTCGGAGTCTTCAGAGGAATTTGGGTATGGCTGTAGTAGCTTTTATTTATACTTTTGTAAGGCTTTCGGAAGCAATGAAATTTTATTATTTATATACTCTCAGTACTTTAGTTTATCTGAGTATTGGCTTTACTTTATATCTGTATCGGTACAGTTGTGTAGTTAGCCTACCACAGATGTGCAATGGTGTGGTTTTAGTGTCCGAATGCTCGGTTGCTCTATGTCATCTCGGGGGATATAGAGTAGTATTTAATAATGAAGACATGGTGTCTAGATTATTAAGCATCATATCTAGGCATATATGCTACAGGCCAGTCGAGGTGGGCCACTGATGGTGATAGCTCAGTATGGGTATTCCTCCGAGATAGTATATATTCCTAAGAAACTTTCATGGGGAAGGTACTCTTCTATATTTAGCCCCGGTTGGACGGCCATGACAGGTTGTCATAAGGAACGCGGCAACCTGAGGTGGTCTCTCGAAACACCAGGAGGGCACTATTAGGGGTATTGGCTACATAGTTGTATACTAGCAGATGTAAACTAGCATTGAGTGTATACTTCTAGTATAGGAATTGATTTTTTTTTTCTATTTCTTCTTCTGCATAGCGTAGGATTGATTTTTGAGAGATATGAGTTCTTTGCTATATCACTCTACTCTTATAAATATATTAATCCCTACTTATACCCTGATCATACAAGTGGACACTATTAGCATACACTACTGGAGAAGAGGTCTTTGGAGGGTCGGCCAATTTCCACAATAGTCCCGGTTCCAAAACGAACCGGGACTAAAGTGGCTTATTAGTCCCGGTTTATTACCTCAACGGGACGAAGGGATTTTTAGTCCCGGTACCAACCGGAACTAAAGATCATCTTTAGTCCCGGTTCGCCTCCTGACAGGGCATGTCAGACCTCTGTCGGGGGGCTTGGGATCTTTAGTCAACCGGGACTAAAGATCATATCTTTAGTCCTGGTTGGTAATACAAACCGGGACTAAAGTGATTTGAGATCTTTATGCCTGGTTGGTAACACCAACCGGGACTAAAGTTGCATAGCTTTATATACCCCTTCTTCCTCCTCCCGCCCGAGCCATTGCTTCAAAATTAAGCTTTGAGGGAGGGAGGTGCTGTCAAAATTTTAAGCAAATTTTTTTGGTGGTAATATATAAATTTGAGGTCTTCAAATGGTTAGCAACTTCATCCTACTCTTTGTTTTGCTTACCATCTACATTTGGAGCTATTTTTTTTACATATTTTTCCCTCTAGAAAATGTGATGGAAGATGATGAGAGAGAAAGTGTGTGTAGGGAATAAAGAAGATTATAAATACTTGTTTGAATAATTACATATAATTTTGTATGAAATTATAAAACTAAGCTAATTTAATATTAAAATAAGAAAAACATATTAAATATTTGTTTATAATGTAATTAAAACATGAAAAATATGTACAATGAATTTAATAATAATGATTAATTGTATGAATAATTAATTCAATTATTGTATTATTATGTAATTACCTTGTAAATCTTGGATTTTGTATAATTACGATTTATATGTATTTCATATAGATGGATCGGCAATGGATGTACGCGGATCGGCGGTCGAAAGAGTTTATTGATGGCGTGCATTATTTTTTGGGTGGGGCCAATGATAACAAGCGTAACGGTTTTATAAGCTGTCCATGCGACAAGTGCAAAAACCAGAAGGAGTATTCCACCACACGAACTATTCATGCCCACCTGTTTCAGTGGGGGTTCATGCGTAGCTACAATTGTTGGACCTCGCACGGAGAGGTTGGGGTTGCAATGGAAGAAGATGAAGTAGAAGATGAGAACATTCCGGACTTGGCTCAGTATGGCGGATTTGAAGAAAACACAATGGGCGAGGCGGAGCTGGATGTTGAAGGGAATGACGGTGCTGATGAACTTGGTCAAATATTGCGGGACTTACAGGAGGACTGCGAAAGTGAAAAGGAGGTGCAGAAACTAGAGCGCATGTTAGCGGACCACAAAACAGCGTTGTACCCAGGTTGCGAGAAGGGCTACAAAAAGTTGAGTACCATCCTAGAATTCTTGCAATGGAAGGCTAAAAATGGTGTAAGTGACAAGGCATTCGGCGAGTTATTGAAACTCGTAAAGAACATTCTTCCGAAGGGGAACGAATTGCCCGAAAGTACGTACGAAGCTAAGAAGACAGTCTGCCCTCTAGGTCTGGAAGTACAGAAGATTCACGCATGTCCGAACGACTGTATCCTGTATCGCGGTGAGTACGAAAACCTAGAAGCATGCCCTGTTTGCAAAGCACTACGATACAAAATAAGACGAAATGATCTAGGTGAAGTTGACGGACAGCCTTTGAAGAAGAGAATTCCTGCTAAGGTGATATGGTATTTCCCTATAATACCAAGGCTGAAGCGGTTTTTCAAGAACAAATCACATGCTAGAATGATGCGGTGGCACGCAGAAGAACGTAAACAGGATGGGATGCTGAGACACCCCGCTGACGAGTCGCAGTGGCGAAATATCGACAGAACATTTAAAGACTTCGGCGAGGATGCACGAAACATGAGGTTCGGTTTAAGCACGGATGGAATGAATCCGTTTGGAGAGATGAGCAGTGGCCATAGCACCTGGCCAGTCACCATGTGCATCTACAATCTTCCCCCTTGGCTATGCATGAAGCGGAAGTACATCATGATGCCGATTATTATTCAAGGCCCGAAGCAACCTGATAACGACATTGATGTGTACCTAAGACCATTGGTTGAAGATTTGAAAGTGCTGTGGAGGAAAGAGGGCGTCCCCGTGTGGGATGAGGACAAGCAGGAGCAATTTAACCTACGAGCGTTGCTATTCGTTACAATTAACGATTGGCCTGCGCTTAGTAACCTATCCGGACAATCAAACAAGGGGTACAACGCTTGCACTCACTGTTTGGATGAAACTGAAAGTACTTATCTGAAGCATTGCAGGAAGGTTGTGTACATGGGCCATCGTCGATTCCTTGCTGCAAACCACCCTGTACGGAAAAAAGGCAAGCACTTTGAACAGAAGGCAGACCATCGTACTAAGCCTAAACATCGCAACGGGAAAGCAGTGTTCGAAATGGTGAAGGATCTGAAAGTAGTATTTGGAAAGGAGCCTAGCAGCCAACCTATAGAGAGCGAAGATGGTCACGCGGCGATGTGGAAGAAAAACTCTATTTTTTGGGAGCTACCCTATTGGGAGGTCTTGGACGTTCGCCACGCAATCAACGTGATGCACCTCACTAAGAACCTTTGCATAAACCTGCTGGGCTTCTTAGGTGTATATGGGAAGTCCAAAGATACACTCGAAGCACGCAATGATCTCAAGCATATGGAACAGCGCGAGGGCCTTCATCCGGAACCGAACGAGAAATGAAGCTATTACTTAAGTCCGGCGAGCTACACCCTAAGCAAGGAAGAGAAGGAGAGTATGTTTCAATGCCTAGAGAGCATCAAGGTACCGTCCGGATACTCCTCTAATGTAAAGAGAATAATAAGCACGAAGGATAAGAAGTTCACAAACCTAAAGTCTCATGACTGTCACGTGCTTATGACACAGCTGCTTCCTGTTATAATTCGTGGTATCCTTCCTGATAATGTGCAGGCAACAATAACGAAGCTTTGTGCTTTCATGAACGCAATTTCACAGAAAGTCATCGATCTAGAAAGTTTAGCCGCCCTTCAGCATGACGTGGTGCAATGCCTTGTCAGCTTTGAGTTGATCTTTCCACCGTCATTCTTCAATATAATAACGCATCTTCTGTGCCACCTTGTAAAAGAGATTGGTATTCTCGGTCCTGTGTACCTACACAACATGTTTCCTTTCGAGAGGTACATGGGCGCTCTAAAGAAGTACGTTCGTAACCGTTCTCGTCCGGAAGCAAGCATCACGAAGGGGTATTGAACAGAGGAGGTCATTGAGTTCTGCGTAGATTTTATTGAAGACCTCGAGCCAATCGGGGTACCCGAATCAATCCATGAGGGGAGACTACGGGGAAAGGGCACACTTGGAAGGAGAGCAATTATGACTGTAGACAACGATTTATTCCGTAAAGCACATTTCACGGTTTTGCAACAATCTTCGTTGGTTGCTCCTTACATCGATGAGCACCTTGCAATTGTTCGCTCAGAAAACAGTGGCAAGTCCGAAGCCTGGATTACACGCCATCATATTGATACTTCCCCGCTTGGCTGCGAGAACACCTCCTGGGTAACGAGACGATTGACCGACAACTAGCCTTCTTGGCTAGGGGACCCTCCAGCTCGGTAACTACATTCCAAGGTTATGAAATCAATGGATACACTTTTTACACAAGAGCCCAAGACAAAAAGAGCACGAACCAGAACAGTGGTGTTCGTATCAATGCCATAGGACACGATGGTCCAACTAGCACGTATTACGGTGTCATCGACAACATTTGGGAACTAGAGTATGGACCCCTGAAGGTCCCTCTGTTTCGGTGCCAATGGGTTAGGCTGACTGGTGGAGGCATAACGATTGATGACAGCGGGATGACAATGGTTGACCTAAACAAGGTAGGATACTCAGATGAACCATTCGTTCTAGCCAATGATGTAACGCAAGTTTTTTACGTGAAGGACATGGATAGCAAACCAAAGAAGGGGAAAGGGCCCGATGAGCCAAGACGCCATGTTGTTCTCTGTCACACCCAGAAATTTAGCCCAAATTTTCAGACCTTTTTGTGTATTAAATCCCTGTCCAGGACCAGCCAGTGTACACAAAACGACAAGTAATATACAGTTCCAAACGTAAATAAAGCGTAAAATACTTACAGAAGAGGCACTTAGTCCTCACACCGAAACAAAAGCAGCAGCAGCAGAAAAAGACGATCCTAGCGGGGCTTCAGCTCCACTCCACAGGCAAAACTCAACTGGGGTCTGAGCCTTGGTCTTCTAACCTCGTCTTCAGCTCAGAAGCACTACACTTCTGAAAAGGGGGAATAATAGCAAGACTGAGTACAACCACCGTACTCAGCAAGCCTCACCAACAATGCAGACGTGCAAGGGGACACAAGGACGGTTTGTGGCTATTTGCATAAAGGCAGTTGTAAAACATTTTATTGAGCAAAACACTAAAACTGTTGAGTAATTAAGGTAATATTGAATCTCCACTGATCAACGCTACACCACATTGAACAGGCCCAACCAACCCACCTGAACTACAGTGCATTGAGTCGATTCATTAAGGTGGGACTAATCACGGTGAATCTGGTCGACCGCCCATAACCGCGGGCACGGCTATTTGAATAGTTTTACTCTGATCAGAGGTGTACAACTGTACCCACAAGACACAGCCCCACGACACGTTTCCGTGCGCCGACATGCCACCACGACATACTGGAAAGAGGCCGTGACAGGACCCTTCGCATAACCCTCTCTAGCCAAGCACACCACACCTCAGGTTTCACCCCCACTCCTCGCAAGGCAGCGGGCAGTCCCCTCTCGTGCCTAAGTGAATCCGGAAGCGACAGAGGCCGTCGCAGGGCCCACCCCGCTCCATCACGCCCACCCTTGCCTGGATGCGTCGGCTAGAGGAAAGCTACACTACAAGCCCAGCCGTTGCCCACGCTGGCTTGTGGTAAGTACGAAAAATTCTTCCAGGGTTTCCCGTGAACCGGTCCATAATTGCCATGGGTGCGACTAGCAAAACCATGCACCCACAGCCCACCTTTCAGTCACATTTTAGTTGGATAATTATGACCATGAAGCATGGCCAGATGTCTCGAGCACGCAGCTCATTCTGATACTAAAAGGTCTAATACTGTAATTATCCCATCAACTGAGCTAGTGGTAATTAAGTATGGCTAAGCATATAGTTCTAGCTAGGTCACATAAGTAACATGAGCTAGTCGATTTATTACCCAATGTTGACAAAGGACATATATCAAGTAAATATGGCACAAGCGAGCAGATAGGTAAACCCTGATCCCATGTAATTAGCAAAACATGCATATTTATTTGCAAACAGTAAAACTTTTGTAAATTGGGATCAACATGCTCAAGGGGAATGTGTGACTTGCCTTGCTTCTTCACTTTGATCTTCCGAACTCTTTTCCTCGCGACCACGGACTTCCGAAACGACGGATTCTACACGCTGGCACGCAAAACGAGGAAAAACTCTAATAAAAACCAAGAAAAAAGTACATAAAAACTAAACAAACATGTAGAGCTCAATTTTAGATGAATTTTACAAGTTGAATGGCTCAATCGGAGTTCGAATGAATTAGATACGAATTTTAGAAGTTTTGAGCCATTTTAATGGATTTCTATAATTAAACCAAATTATTGCGCAATAATTATTTATTTTCTCAAAGGAAAAAGCTTAAGCGCTGACGTCATCAAAGAGGCCGGCGCTGACAGGCGGACCCCACACGTCAGCGGGTCAAGGGAATCGGTCCACCGTGGACCGGGACCACGGGGTGGCGCGGCTGAGCACGGGCACGGCTCAGGCCGGCCCGGCTGAGCGACGGCTCGCGGCGGCGCGGCCTCCTGCGGCGACGGCCGGTGCATGTGAGAAAGCGGCAGTGAGGCGCGGCAAGGGGATCCGGGCGGCCCAGGCAAGCGGGGCGGCGGCAAGCCGGCCGGCCGACCTAACGGTGGCCGCGCACGGCCCGGTGGTCGCCGGCGGCGGCCACAGGCGCGGCAGCGCGCACGGGAGACAGAGGAGGGAGGCAAAGAGGAAGAGGAGTAGCTCACCAAAGACGTGGCGACGAGGGGCGGGGAAAGACGGGGGAGCTCGGCGTCGGTGCTCCTCGGGACGAAGGCAGAACGGCGGCCCGGCGGCGTTCCGCGAGCGGGAACCGGCGGACGGCGGCCGAAAGGACCTAGGAAGGATGGGAGAGAGGTTAGGAGGGGGAGAGAGGGCTCCCAGCGGCATGAATCGCTGGTCGGAGGTGAGAACGGGCGGCGGATGCTCACCGGCGCGAGGGGAACCGTGTTCCGGCAGGATCCCGGCCATGAAAAGCGGCGGCCGAGGTGCTGCTCGGCGCTACGAAGCGAGCGGCGGCAACAGCGCGACTTGGGGTGGCTAGGAGCGGCGCCAAGCGGCGACTGGAGTCGGCGGCGGCAGTGGAAAGAGGTGGTGCGCGTGGCGACGGTGCTTCGGAGGCGGGGAGGGGAAATGGAGCGGATGCCGGGGTGCGGCACGACGCGGCGAAACCGCTGGTGGCGGTCGCGCGGAAAGGCGGTGGTGGGAGCGGCTGTGGCGACCGGCTGGAGGGTCGTCGGCGAGCGGCGGCGGGAGGTGCGACGGTGGCGGGGTGGTTTTCGTGCACGGGAGGGCTCGGGAGAGAGGGGAAAATGGAGAGGGAGGTGCGGGGAATGTTTTTATAGGGGAGGGGAGGCTGGACCGAGCCCGGGAGAGGCGGAGTCGGGGCGGCAACCGCCGGTGGCGTGGGCGGCATCGTGGGGTGTGGGTGGCGGTTTTGGAGGGGAGAGGTGGGGGAAAACGGCGCGGACGTGGGCGGCGAGGTCCCACGGACGAGCGCGCGCGCGCGGGGTGGAGGAGGTGGGCGGAAACGGCGGCGTCGTGGGGCGGCTCGGGCGGCCATGGCGGCAGTTGGAGCTGGAGGAAGGGGATGACAGGTGGGGTCCACGGGTCCCACCTATCGGGGAGAGAGGGAGGGAGAGTTGGAAGGGGGACGTAAAACAGACTTCGCGAGGGAGAGGGGAAACGGGCCGACGGCCCAAGAGAGGGGAGGAAGGCCGGCCGGGAGAGGGAGAGAGAGGGCGCGGGCCGCGGGAGGGGAAGGGAATTGGGCTGGGGCGGCCCAAAGACAAAGAAAGGGAGATTTTAATTTCTTTTCTTTTTATTTAAATTGATTAAATGAACTTTGTATTATTATAATTACTTATTGAGCTCCGAAAATTCACGGGAAAATTTCAGAGAATATTTAGGGCACAAAGAATATTACAAAATATTCTCGGCCAATGATTTTTAAAGGAAATTTTTAATTCCCTCAATATTTCACTTGATTAAATTGCTTTAACTTTTATTAAATTTCTACAAAATGCATTATTTAATGATTTTTAATCCCGAACGAAAATCGGGGTGTTACATTCTCCCAGGCAAGAGGAAAATCGTTGGAGTCGAGGATAAGACTGACGAAAATTACGATCTGTTTGAGGAGCAACCTCCGTTTGCAGTGACGGTTGACCCGAGCATCATACTATCAAAGGAGGACACGCCGTACTCACGCAACGATCATAGCGAAGGAACAATAGTGAGGAGAAACTACGTGAGGAAGACAGTGACCTAGATTGTTTGATGGAAGATGTAAATTATTTGTATTGTATTGAAAGTCGAACAATTTGGATCAATATATTATTCTCAACTGCTTAATTTGTAATGTATTA